GTAGGTGGTAGGTGTGCGACGTCGTCGGTCGTCGTCCGTGACGTCGTCGTCCGCGGTCGCGTCGCGTCCGCCGTCGTCGCGCGGCCGCGCGCCGGCCGGGCGTCGGCGTGGCGCTGCGCGAGATGTCGGCGCTCGTCGAGCTGGTCCGGAGCCCGTCCATCGACCCGCGCGAACCGTCGCTGCCCGCCCGCGAGTGCCCGCGCAGGTCGTCGACCCGTCTCGTGGCTGCCCCCGCCGTCGTGCCGCTCGCGAGGGCAGAAGTGACGAGGTCGTCTGGGATCGCGGACTCGATCCACGTCTTGTACCGGCTGAGAATCTGGAGCGTGACGCGCCATTCGCGCGCCGCCAGCTCGTGCAGGTGCACGCCGTCCGACCACGGTGCTCGCAGCGCCGCCAGCGTCGAGACCGTCGCCTGCATCAGCGGCGGCGAGCTGGCGTCCTCGCCGTCGCTGCCAGCGGCACCCCGCGATCCATCTGTCAGGCCGTCCTCGAGCCTAGAGACGATCTCGCGGAAGCGCATCTGGAAGTAGACGGGCAGCTGCCACCGCTTGCGGAACGTCGACCAGAGCGGATGGCGCAGCAGGCTTGACCTGGCGCGCGCAGAGGGTGCCAGCGACGCAAAACGCTCGAGGAACGCCGACGACGTCGAGTAGTTCTGTGGTGGCGAGGGACAAGAAACATCGAGCGAGGCACAGCGTCTGGGATCAGCATGCTGCAATGACCGCCCGACTCGCCCTGCGCGCGTCTGTCCACTCACCCGGTAGAAGTCATCCGGCCGGCCGACGAAAAAGATGCTGCTGGCCACGTCGTCGTGCATCAACCGTGTCGCCACCTCGTCCCAGAGGACATTGACAAAGATGTCGCAAGTCGTCGACTTGGCGGTCGCGGTCGCGGTCGCGGTCGTGTCGCCATGAGCGGCCGGCGCGGCAGCGGTACCTGCTTGCGTCGAGATGGACTCGGCCGCATCGCAGATCTGCCAGGCTTGGGTGACGGCGAAGGTGAGCACGCTGTTGTATAGCCGCAGCAGCCCCGAGTCGTCCTTGATCGGCAAGTCATTCGCCGTGAGCAAGACATTCTCCAGCCGGCTCTGAGCAGCGACTGCGCCGATGCCGGCCGCCGAGCCGCTTTTGCCCGGAGGCGGGCCGCCGTCGGCGCCGCTGCCGATGGTTGATTCGTCCGGCCGCGACAGCGCCGCGGCAGTGATGGCTGCGCTCGCCCAGGGCTGCACCAGAATCTCGCGCACGGCTTCTTCTGCCTCCTTGCCCTGCCGCCCGACGGGCTCGGTATCCAGGTCCGTCGTATGTGCAGCTGGCGCGCCGAGCGACATCAAGGTGCTGAGCACCATCTCGAGCCAGCCCCTCTGCTCCTGCAGCCTCTCTGCCCAGTACTGTTCGGTACAGGCCTCGCTGGGTTCGTCGTCCGCGCCGCTGTTGGGGAGGGCTACCTGGCTCCAGGACTCGAGCTCGACGTCTGCTGGAGGGACCCCGCTTCGTGGCGTTTGCTTGAGCGAGCTTCGACGCCCGAGTTCTGGCGAGTGTGGCGGTGGGTAAGACGCACGTGCGGGCGTCGAGTCTGCGCCGCCGCCTACGAGCAGCGACGAGGGCGAGAGGAGCGCCCTGAGGAGGGCACGGAGGTCCTGCCTGAGGGTCGCGCGGACGTGATCCATACGCTGTGGCGGTGGCAGCAAGAGGAGACGGCAGCGGCATGCGAGTCCTGGTCAGCCCTCTGCAGCCAGCCTTTCGCCCGTCGATGGCCGTCGCCGCTTTTACTCACATCTTGGAGGGCATCGAAAAAGCCCGTCAGGCCCTCTGCGTGCACGCGCCTGCTGAGGAAGCGCAGCCTGGAGTACTCTGCCGAGGTGCGGGCCACCCTCTGCGGGAGGCCAAGCAGGGAGGTGGTAGAGCCCGATGGCCCGCCGGTGCCGGCGTCAAGCCGCTGCCTGGCTCTGCGCCGGTCTCGCGAGTCGAGAGCGAGGAAGCCGTTGTTTGGACTGAGCTGCGCGTTGCCCAAGGATCCAAAGGACGCGGTGCGCGCTTTCGTCCGCCTCGACTTTCGCCGCCTCCTTTCTGTGCGGTGCGTGGGGCTCGGCGACTTGGTCATCTGGTCGTGGACCGAGGGGCCACCATTGGGTTGCAGTAGTAGGACGGTCTGGGGCGAGGTCGAAGGGCTCTTGACGGAGGGATGGCCGTCAGGCATATTGGCGTTGGCGGTGGCGCCTTCAGCATCGGTGTCGACACCGGCGTCCTCGTCATCGTCATAGTCGGACGAGAAGCCGTAGCTCGAGTCTGAGCCCTGTTCGTCGCCCGAGTCATCCGCGCCAGGCATCGACTCGCCGATGGCTAGAGCCGAGCCGGACAGGTCGAAGTCGCCTGATCCCGACGCGTGACCGGAGCGAGGACCGAAGGACGACTTGCGCCTGGCGCTCCCGGCCGACGCGGGGATGAGGAGGAGCTCTTCTAGGCGGGCGACGGAGTGGTGGAGCTGGAGCATGAGTTCGAGGCGGGCCTTGCGGTGACCGACGTGTTCCCTCTTCTTCATGCACAGCCGGATGTCGTCCTCGACGCTCTGGAGAGTGTCCCTGGACTCGACGAGTGCGTGGCGGACGGGGGCCATTGCGCCTCGGCCTGCGGGGTGGTTTGAGGTGGGCGAGGTGAACCATCCGAGCCTGTCGATGCGATGCGACTCTGCCTTGAGGCCGCTGCCGAGCGAGACAAAGTCCTTGTAGTCGTGGTTGATGATCTCTACGAGCTCGTGCTTGAGCGAGTGGCTGTAGGAGCGGAGGTCGCTGAGGATGTAGCTGAGGTCCGAGGCCTTTGTTCGCGAGACGAGGAAGTCGTCGACGTTGAAGTCGGGCGCCTGGGTGGGCGAGAGGAGGGGCAGGTGGTGGGAGAGGGGCTCCAGGGTGGGGAAAGCGGGCGTCGTCTCTGGGTCAGCCTGGTGCAGGAATGGATCGGCGGCAGGGGTGGCGGCGGTGTTGTCGTCGTCGTCATCATGGTCGTGGCCGCCGGGCTGTGAGCGAGCCCCTTTGGAGGGGGCGGTCGAAGCCATGCCGGCCAATCGGACCGGCCGGCGAGTCTCGAGGGGCGACGCCTCGGCCAGATGGTCGATGGCGGTCGATGGTGGAAGCGAAACGCTACGGCGTCGGGCCGCTTCCGATACGCTCGAGGCTGGGGCAGGGAATGAGGGGCGGCAGTCGAGGTGGCTACGTGGGTCGGGCAGTGGTGCCTCTTGTTGGTGGTCAGAGGCGACGGGCAGAGTGCAGCCAGGCCTGGTAGGGTCCTCGCTGGCTGCCAACTTTCACTCGCTCCCTTCTCTCGCCGCCGGCGGCTGGGGGGCTTCCAAAAGCTGGCTCGTGCTCGCCCCCATTCCGCCTTCCGAGGCTGCCATCTTCGGACTGGCCCCGACCCACCGACCCCCTCGCCTCCTTCTTGCCTCGACCTCATATTCCCCTCTTCTCTCTCTCTCGACCTTTGCACCTGCTACCACGCACGGCTTGCCTCAAGCCGTTGGCATAGCCACAGCAGCAGCACGACGGACAAGCAATGGCTTCCCTCGCCAATCTCTGGGCCTCCCTCACAGCCGCCACGACCACGACCGCGACCGCGCCTCCGCTCCTCATCGCCCTCGTCCTCGTCATCCTCGCCATGGCCTGGTCCCCCTTCGTCTCGTCGTCTCCCCGCTGGAACCCAGCAGGCCGCGTGAGTGCCACTGCGCCCAACGCCGTTCGCAGATCATCACTAGCCGCACCTACTCACCGCTGCTCATCTTCCCCCCTCCACTCCCGCCGCCGCAGAACGTCTTGATCACGGGCGGGTCCCAGGGCCTAGGCCTGGCCCTCGCACAGCTCCTCGCCTCCCAGGGCAGCAACGTCACCATCTGCGCCCGCACAGAGTCCAAGCTCCAGTCCGCCGTCGACTCGATCCGCGCATCCGCAAAAACCTCCGCCCCCTCCCAGAGGATCGACTACGTGGCCGCCGACATCTCGACCTTCGCCGGCGCCCAGCACGTCGTCGCCTCGTGCCCCGTCGTCCCCGATACGGTCTTTTGCTGCGCCGGCGGCGCCAAGCCGGGCTTCTTTCTCTCCCAGACCGAGGCCGATTTCCAGGCCGGCATCAAGACCGACTACCTCACATGCCTCTCGACGGCCCACGCCGCCGCCAACGCAATGGCCCGCGCCTACCCCGTCGTCGCCAGCGGCAGCGGCGACAAGGCCGCCGCGTCGACCCCGGCGCCGCGCCCCAAGATTGTCCTGGTCTCGTCGATGCTCGGCTTCATGGGCCTGGTGGGCTACTCGCAGTACACGCCCATGAAGCACGCCATCCGCGGCCTGGCCGAGTCGCTCCGCAGCGAGCTGCTCCTCTACGGCATCGACGTCCACGCCTACTTTCCCGCCACCATCCTCAGCCCGGGCTTTGACGAGGAGAACAAGACCAAGCCCAAAATCACGCGCGACATCGAGGGCGCCGACGAGGGGCTCACGCCAGAGCAGTGCGCAAAGAAGCTCGTCAGGGGTGAGTGCGCCGCGGTACCGACAGGCGTCGGTGAGCAAGACAGCCAGTGGAGACCGCCTGCCGGGAAAGCTGACGTCGACGAGCCCGCCCCTCTTCTTTCCTGGCCATCTTGCTCGATCCCGGCCGCGGGCAGGCCTACAAGCCAACAACTTCTTCATCACCTCCGACACCGTCACCGACCTCTTTCGCTCCTCGGCCCTCGGTTCAGCGCCGACCAACAACGTCGTCCTGGACCGCATCATGGCCGTCGTCGCCTGGGTGAGTCTCGCGCCGCCGTGGTTGGGAGGGCAGGCAGCAAGGCGCACGCTGAACTCGGTGACATTTCATCGTCGACGAACACGGACACGAATACCAGATCGCGCTGCCCATCTGGCGCCATTTCGAGGCCGACAAGGCCATCAAGGCGCACCGACAGCAGCACTACGAGGATCTCGGCCTGTCGTCGTCGTCGTCGTCGTCGTCGTCGTCCTAGCCCCAGCCCAGCCCATACGGCTTTGCAGGAGCTGCAGCGCGCTGCTCGTGGGGCGCACGGCGCTCGTCGTGACACGTCACGAGGAACAGGAGGAAGGGACACATCTATACCCCGCATGCAGAGCCGACGCGATCCGGCCAGGTCTCACGCCATCGTATGCCGTCCCCCTCCTCACAGCGATGCGAGACCCAGGCACCGTCAAGACATGCAAGACCGTCGAGGCAAAGTAAAAAGGCCATGAGGCAGAGGGGGGGCGCCCTGTTGTATTTTTGGTGCGAGGTCAGCGGACGGAGAAAGAGCCAAGGCCTAGAGTCGATCCGAGCTAGAGGGTGGGTGGTATTGACATGGGATGGAGAGAGACAGGGTGACCCAGCCGTCGTGCGCCGACGGGCGCAGCAGTACCGACGGCCTCCGTCGGGTCGCGGTCGCGTTGGCCACTCTGCCAACAAACGAACGAACGAGCGAGCGAGCGAGCGAGCGAGCGGGTCTACTCGGTCTTGACGTTGGCCTCGCCGCCTTCAGTCTTGACCTTCTTGCCCACCGTGGGCGGCGCATCGGCGGCGCCGGCAGCGGCGTCCGAGGCGTCGTTGCGCTTACGCTTGTCGCCGCTGCCCTCTGCATCGTTGTCCCGTCGTCCTCCACCGAACCCGCCACGTCCTCCGCCGCGTCCGCCGCCACGGCCGCCACGGCCACCACGGCCGCCGCGTCCACCACCACGTCCGCCGCCGCGTCCGCCGCCGCCACCCTGTCGTCGGTCGCCGTTGCCGTTCTGGTCGCGCTGGTCGAGCATAAACGTGGCGCGGAACTGGGCGCGCTCGACGTAAAACGACTTGGCCGTCTCCTCGTCGACGCGGGACCACTCGACGGGCTTGCCGCCCACCGTGATGCCCTTGGCGCGGATCTCGTCGAGCTTGTCGTCCGGCAGCGTCTCCTTGAACCCGACGGCGCCCTCGATGGCGCCCGCCGGGAACTCGACAAACGACGTCGGGTGCACCGTGACGAGCGTGTCCTTGAGGTCCTTCCAGTTGCCCCCTTCTCCCGCCCCCGTGAAGCGCAGCACGCTGTTGGCCGGGAAGGCCACCTGGCTGGCGTCGACCTTGCCCTCGTCGTCGGTGGTGAGCTTCTTGCCGTTGAAGTCAAACTCGAGCACCTTGGACTTGGGCGCCGACGACGCCTGACCGTTGCCGTTGCCGCGGCCGGCGCCGCCGCGCTTGTCGCCGAGGCTGCCGAAGCGCGTCTCGCGGTCCATTTCCTTGAAGGCGTTGAACTTCTTGGGCGCCTTGGCGCCGGCCGCCGACGACGACGACTCTCCGCCGCGCCGGGCCTGCGACGGGTCGATGCCCTTTTCCTTCATCTTCATCTGGCAGTAGGCGTCCTTGCTCATGGCGAGCAGCTCCTTGTCCTGGAACGAGATGCCCTTGCCGCCGTCCTCGGTGGGCTCGCGCTCGGCCGCCTTCTTGAGAAAGTCGGACTTGGTCTCAAAGTCGGCGAATTCGACAAACACGCTGTTCTTGAACGGCTTGGGCTTGGCGGCGGCGTTCATGTCGCGCCGCATGCGCACGCCATTGACCTTGCCAAACTGGGCGAAGAACTTTTCCAGCTCGACCTGGAGGCCGTCGTGCTCGTCGGGGAAGCCCTTGGCGTAGACGCTGCGGTCGTAGGCGTCGCGCACGGGCACCAGCTCCTTTTTCCTCCGCACCTTTTCGCCGCTCTCGTCGACCTCGAGCAGCTCGGCCGACGCCTTGAGCGCCTCGCTGATGCCCTCGACGCCCAGCGCCTCCTTGATCGGCTTCATGCGCTTGAACGACGCCACCGTCGCGATGGGCACCCAGCCCTGCGGGTCCTTGCGCGTCAGCGTGAAGAGGAACTTGTCAAACGGCAGGTTGGCATCGTCAAAGTAGAACTCGACTGTGCAAGAGGCGGCGACGACGGGAGGGTGCAGAGAGGCACAGAGGGAGAGGCACACAGAGAGAGAGAGAGAGTCAGCCTTGCGCTGGGGCAGGCGGGCGCACGCGCGGGACCATGCACAAGCGCTGCGCCGCTCGACACTCACCCTGTCGGAGAGCCTCCTGCTTGGCCTCCTCGGCGGTGAGCGTGGTCGGTGCCGGAGCAGCGGCGGTGGCGGCAGCGACCTGTTCCGTCTTGACTTCTTCCGCCATGTTGGGTGGTCGTATATAGAATCGTCGGGATCGGGATCGGGAGCGGTGGCGCAGGCGAGGGTGGATGGCGGATGAAGGTTACTCGTGAAGGCGATGCAGGGCAAGAGGAGCAGAAAGACGGGGCAGACGAGCAAAAGGTAGGAGAGAGGGGCCCGCA